CGGAGCTGGAGAGGCCGATTGCCGATCCATGATGGAAGATTGTGCCACGCTGGCGCATCCAGAGAGGTGAGTTGTTTGCACGGCAAGCCGTAGTGAGCAGGCCGGAGTATAGCGATTTGTGTCTCCTTCCTAGTCGAAAATGAATTTGATAGACTCGGGGTCTGGCAAAGACGCCAGGACTATAGCTGCCCGAAAGCTGGATACATGACTGACAACGATGCACGAGCGTCAATGTCAGGGTCGTGATCCGGTCGAAGCGTCTTCTTCCGGGAGGTAGGCGAGCGCAGAGGAGAGTCGGCAAGGAAAATCACACAGCAGACAAGCCGGACGGGGTCAATGGTAGACGCAGTGGCGGAGACGGGCGGCTTCGCAGGCACGCTCACGCCAGCGCAGCGGAGGCGACGGGGTCGAGGAGTTTCGAGCCAGCTTGCAGGATGGGCCGCGACAGCACTCGGACAGGTCGGCCTGCAGGCGTGAAAGCCACAGGTGATTAGGCTGAAGGTGCTAGTTGGCGCGAGGAGTCTGAAAACCGCACAGCTCGCCGTCCGAGTTGGTGAGGGCAAGAGACGCAGAAACCATGAATCAATCCCGACGAGCACAATTAGGACGATGGGGTTGCTTTGGGGTGGACGCTTCACGACAGCTGCACGCACAGTGCGGGCACAGTCCGACCCATTGGAGGATAGAAATTGGCGGGCCGCTATGAGGCATGATTATCACGCGGAGAGTGCAGGCAGGCCCAATCACAACCCCGCATCTCATACACTAGCACGGATAGCCACAACACCCTGAGTTCTGATACTCCGAAACACACTGTGCCACGTCTGCGGGCCCCCATCCATCTTTGTTTCGTCTGCCCCGGCGTCATTGCTAATCAGGACCTACCATTTATTAGGGTTTGGATGCAACTGCAACTACGAGCTTCGGCAGGCTAAGCATGGATATGGATATGGGTGTGGCCATGGCTATGGAGACCTGGACCTATCTTCGGAGCATGGCAGTGGACTGGATTGGACGCATGTGCAGAGCCTGGCAGGGCCTTGACTTGAGCATGCCGGGTGTGCTTGGCCGCCCACCCAATCAGCAGATGGAAGGGATTGGAAGGGGGGATTGCCTGTACGAGACACACTTATGCACCAGAGGATGCGCCAGAGGATGCACCAAGAGTGAGAGTCCTTGTAGCAGGTACCTGCACTGTTTTTCAGTGAGCAGCCACCCACCACCCCGCTGCATGACCGCCGCTGTGCTAAGACGGTCTCATTCCATGTACCGGCCACTGACCATTGATGCCACCACCATCCATGCCCATGCCAGGCCAGGAGTTGTCTAGTCGCATGACTTGCAGCCTCTCGCGGTGATGGTTTGCAACCCCATTGCGTCCTGACCGTATATGTATGTAATATTTTAACATGGCATTGCCTTCTAACCACGCTTGGTGCGTCCACCCACCGGCTCTTGCGTGGAACTTGCTCAAATGCTACGTCCTGAGCACCTCGAGCTGAACGAGTGTGCGTGTGTGAGCGCGCGTACGAGGAGACAACAACTCTCGCGACTCCACGAGAGGAGAGGAGAGGGGTCGCTCTTTGCTCACTGCATGCATATACTTGCCTGCCGTCACACCACACGGGACAGTCCCCATGAACTGTCGGTCGGCCATGGCCTCTGGTGCCGCCCAGGACCTTCTCAGATCATGATTTCATCTCCCCTCGACGCACGTACCGGGTGATCCAGTGATGTATGTGACCTGACCACCGACGCCGGAGGGCTCCCTCCACGCACCCAGCCCAACCCTGCAGGTCAAGAAACTTGCAGACCGCTGTTACATGATGGAGGTCTGGAACTGCTCACCCACACCATTTTAACTGGCTGCATTGCTGTTGACATTCCATTTCCTTCTTATTACGACGGCTTATCACACCAGTTCCACCACGTGAACTTCCAATTATTGGTTCGCTGAGCCGGTGACATGAAAATTGGCACACCAAGGCAGTACCCTGCGAAGCTTGGATTCCTCGACTATTGCTGTCCAGCGAACCGCTCCCCAGAACACATGCATCAAAGACTACACATCTGGCATATACTCTCAAGCGATTGGATAGTGACTATGTTATTTCATTGTCTCTGTTACTTCCAAGTTGGTACCTTCATTGGCCTTTCTTTGGTGTATCAATCCAATACCACCCACATTCTCGCCTAATATGATACAGGTAAGTGGTTAAAGCCGGCATAAACCTACACATAACCATCCCCGGTGGAGAATCCGGGAAACCCGTCAAGCTCTTGTATACGCTTCATTCGCTACTAGTTCTAGAGCCTTCTATTCCCATTGCGACTCCCATCACACATGCAAACCGCCCTCGGAACCCGTGACCGGGCCTTCCTGCATTGAAAGACCTCGTACAGCGAGACAGTGGCTACCGTTATAGCGCTACGGGTCCGTTAACAATTGTATTCCGTTGTTCGTGTGTCAAACGCAATTCTAATAACGGAGTGGCTTCATAGAATCAACAAAATAGGAATTCCCAGTGGCAGTCCATGTGCAGGCTAAAGCTTTTGATGATCAACCACTTGTAGAAGGATCTACTTCCCCCTTGATGGAAAGCAATGTATCGAGGGTTCAATACAGGGAAGAAATGGGAAGCAAAACTAGATCGATCCCAGCCATTTACTCACCGTACGAGCGAGGGGGTCTTCTGGTCACTCTTGGCACCGGGCTTCTCGCTGGCCTTGCCGTGCTTCTTACCACCAGCACTCTTGGCACAAGTGCTGCCCCTCCCATATCTCCTAGAATTGTGACCAGAATTTCCGCCGTTCCTTCTCGGCCTTCTACGTGGTCTGGGTGAGACGGAGGCTTGTGGTTAAGGCTCTGACAAATGATTATTGCTCCATATTCTCTAAAGCATCCTCTGTAAGACCATATATGCTTTCATCCACAATATCTTCTTATAGCTTAGACTGGCAGCCTTTCAAAATCTGCTTCCGCTTTAACCAGAATTCTGAGAGGACCTGCTCAGACCAACTGGTGCAGTAATTTCCGACACCCTACGTTCTTTTGTACTAGCCATAGTAGTAGCAATTTTACCAGGACTACCGAATTGAGAGGATGCTCTGTGACTGTGCGTGGCATTTTACGGAGGCTGTGCGAGAGGCTGGCTGGCCGTGCAGATTCGCATGGACAGACTCCGCTCTTCTACGACAGGCTTCAGTTCCAGTCAGCCCAATCAACCGCCTTCATATAAATCTCGAAATCGTTTGCCGCTTCTGTTAGCAAAACACTTTCATGATGATGCCTCAAGATATCGCCCCGGAGTTCAGAAGAAACTTGGGTGTTCTCCTCTTAATCTCCATTACGGCTCTTTCTCCTCGAAGTCATCTATTCTTACAAGTCGGCTCAGCGATATCCTCTTCTCAAACCTTCAAATAATCTCCCTCCGCCATGAATGAAGAAAAAAATGTAAAGTGAGCAGAAAAAAATGAGATGTGCAAAAGTTGAGTGGATTCATGCCCCCACACGGGATTGAACCGTGGACCTCATCATTTCGGGAATACGAGTGATGCGCTCTACCACTGAGCTATAAGGGCGATGATCGAATGTCTTCGCTGCTTATCACGAAATGCATACTTCCTCTAAAACATGAAGCGTATCGAATACTCACCTCATTCACAGTAAACAACCTGACGAGATTATGCGTAACTCCACATAGGTCTTATTATCCTAGTAATTATTGTTGTTTTTATCTTTCCTTTGCTTCTTACATCTCTTCCCTATTCATCGTAGCCCACATGATCAAGGAGTCTTAGCGCCACTCCTTTCTTTTCAAAGGTATGCATTAGCCAAACCTTGTGAGCCTTCGGGGAAGATGCCATAATTGGGTCGTCCTAACTCTGTATGGAAGCCCACCTCACAGAGACCGATGTTTCTTCCCCTGCTTTGCTGAACATGAAGAGAGTCCATGGATCCTTATCTTACGAGCTACATGGCTTTTCCACCCGGAAGGAGGAGCGCTTGCGTAGTTGGTTGCGTTGCCATTCTCCCAAGATATGCTAGGTTATCGTACATCAACGAACGACGAGATAATAAATGCGAATTGCTTGTGCAGGACAAAAAGGAATTCGGGGAAAGGTAATTTCTCTATCTAGGACGTCCCGAGTTAGTTCAGTTGTCTCCCTTGTTCGCATCCCTCTTCTCTTGCGAGGTGAGGTGCCTGGAGGACCACGCGGGACCATCTACGCTCACCCACGTGCTTAGTGGCTTCGAGCCGCTATCACTTCCGGTAATCCGCGATCATTCTACATTCACGGAAGTACCGACTTACACGCACCAGCGACAAAGTGTCAGGTTGAAAGAGATGTCTCGTCCAAAGTTGACAGACTCTTTTGGTAGATCTGTAGATTGCACCATGATCGAAGCTAGAGAATGTGGTCAGATGCGTACAATGCCAATCCACTGCACACGAACCAGCCGAAGCGGTGAGATGAAATACTGATGAGCTTGTATTCAATAAAATGAGAGCAGAGGGAGGCCGAGCAATACATAGTTCTACATTTTTGAGCCCGATAAAGCGGCTTTGTCACATCAATCGAGGCGTGATTGCTTGGCGTAAGGAGATGAGGAAAGAAGCAATCTAGCGCCTTCCAAAGGAGAGTTTGGCCTCACTTGGAGCCTCGGACTTCATTCAATAAAATATGTTCTTCGGTATGGCTGCTGGTCCCAAGGCTTCCACTTTATTCCTCGCCGTTTTCTCCATCATCATCATGACCAGCGGAAGTGGTAGCGGCAGCATCCTTGTCGGTATCATCGCCACCCAGCAACGACTGAGCCGAATCCACCCATGTGAATGACAAACTCCACCAACTATCAACCACCATAATTCTCCCCACCTCGGTACCTATATTTCGCATCAGCACAGAGCCACGAGCACGCCAAGCTACCACTACATTGCCAGAAGATAGCCTTCTGATATGCGCGCCATTCTTGTCTACTGAACTTGGCGGGACCAATGTCATCTACATCGACCAGACTCCGATCGACGCGACCCTTTCAGCCCTCCGATGGGCGCAAAGAACCCGACCTCGGTGGGGGGGGCCTATCCTCGCTCAGTCTCGACGTCTTCAAGACCCTAATTGACAGGCGGAATGTTCGCAGTAGTACGATGACACACCCATCTATAAGCCAACCCCTTGCTTCTCCTCTCTAACACTAAGCAGCGGATGAAGCCCAGCCGAAGCGACGGGGGCCGAAGCCCGACCGAAAACCAGCTCTGACGAGGAGGCAGGAGCTGAATAGACAAGCCCAGCGGTGCGCGCGACTCTACGATTCAACAGCCACTCTTGCTTCAAACACGTATTCTAATGCTGTAATAGAACCCACCGGGAGCGTAAAGAGATGTACATTACGAGCCTGGAGGATGAAGTACTGAGGCTCAAAGAAGTATACAGCACAGCATGTCAGGAGAAGGCTAAACTGATCGACGAAAACAAAGAGCTGAAAGGCTTGCTTGTTCAGCACGGCGTTTCACTCCCGACCCCCTCCAGCCCAGAAAGCGGACAATACCAGTCAGATCACAGTGGGCTGATCTCGCCTGGTACCTTACAATCAACCACGGAAGCGTCCACGGCATCGCCAAACACTCAACCACCTCTGGATAGGCAAAAGCTAGGCAACAATGAGCTAAAGCAGGAAACGTTAAGCGGCATAGACTATGACCAGGCCGGCATTGATTTTGTCCTCGCGTACGATAAACCCTCCACTCCAAGAGCATAACCGTCGCCCTCCCATCACCAAGATGGTAGTCGCATTCGTGCGCATGGAGCATAGCGGATAGTGCATGCATGATATATCTTTGTGTTGACTTTGCTAACGATTGAGACGCTTGCGGGGATAATAAACAGACTCGAACGCCCCTGCATGGACCATATGCCTGTCTTGTTGGATGTTTCGAGCGAAGCTGAATGTCAGCCATGCGGCCATGCCCTCATGGTGTCATGTCCGCCACGCCCATTCGACGAATTGTCACCAGAAGACACATTTGGCCAATGCCCGCTCCGGAGCGGCCCAAATTCGGGGCAGAGGACATGGAAGCTGGAGAAGGGCGACCTCTCAAAGCTCTTGGAACTCAGCTCACAACTCGACCTCGACGGTGAAGTCACCCCAGTGATGGCATGGACCATGATCCTGGCGCACCCAAGGAGTCGAGATCTGAAGGCTCAAGACTTCGTCACGTTGGCTGGAGAGTTACAGAAGAAAATCAGATGCTACGGGTAAGTTCCTTCTACATCACATCACATTACCAGCCAAATCCTATCTCCGAGCATTTTACTCAACGGATCGCAGGTTCGGCGCAGTCACCGAGGAATTCGAGGTGCGAGACGCCATCGAAAATGTCCTTGGAAACCGGCTTGACTGTAGACAAATGGAGGGGATAATTGCAACTAACCAGAATGGCGAGGTATCTGCTTAGGGCGGGTAGGCGGTTATCCAGTATAACAGATATACCCACATCTTCTGTGTTAGTGCGCACTTCGGTTAGAAGGATAGTGCTGAAAATTCAGTGCCCCAGTGGTGTATCGGGAGAGCCTGAGCAGCCTTGTGCCATTTGATCACCAAGGGATCTATTTTATATAATGAATTGGAATTGGATTTGGAATTTGCTTATTTCCAAGTACTTAGTAGACAGCAGTAGGCAAACAGGACTGAGCATGCAAATATGTATGAGACACTTGACTGGTGGCGCGGGGCTTGCAACTTTTCGTTAGACAGCCCCACACCCCACCACAAATTCGTTTCTCGCGATTCCAAATTCTTGTGAACGAGTGAGTCTGACAGGGAAAGCCTCTCTACTCACCCTGCAGCATCCAGGCCACTTTCCCAAGCTCCTCAGGATCGACCCAAGGAGAGCAAAGATGTCTGCCGATACACTCGACTACCTTCGCATATGCGAGAGCTGCCCTCCTGGCGACGGCTGGGGGCCCTCTGTAACCGCCGAGACAACCCTCGACGGTGTGCCCTATGCGCCTTTCTCCAAGGGTGACAAGTTGGGTCGCATGGCCGACTGGACTCTAGAGGGCAAGGACCGAGAGCGCGGCGGTCGTATGCAGTTCAACCGCAGCTACAGAGGTAGGGCATCCAGAGACGGTGTGGTTTCCCTTGGTGATCAAAATGCTAATCTGCGTCCTGGCTCCAGACCAACAAGTATACGGTGCCAGCCATGCTGTCACCTTCAACGCCCCCGCTGCCGAGGACGAGTCCACATTCTCCATTGTCACAAACACACGAGACTCCACCAAGACGAGATATGGCCGTGGAGCCGTCTTCACTCGCGGCCGTGGCCAGCGTGGTGGCCGAGGCGATGCTCGCGGTGGACGTGGCCAGTCTCAGCGATCCGGCCCTGGTGGCCGACAGAGTGGCTACGACCGTGGCCGAGGTGCTGGTGGAGCGCGTGGCCGCCGTTTCGGCTGGAAGGACTACGACAAGCCAGCCCGCAACCGAGACGCCAGTGTCGCCATCCGTGCTGACTGGGAGCTGCTTGAGGAGATTGACTTCAACCGTCTGGCTAAGCTGAACCTCGACACCGACGAGGGAGAGGACCTGGAAGACTACGGATTCCTCTACCCCTACGACCGCTCCTACGACAAGCCTCCCGTCAAGGGCTCCGAGAGAAAACTCACAGCCATCGACCGTGCCTCATACAACATTACCACCTCAAATGACCCCATCATCCAGGAGCTCGCCGAGAAGGACGAGGCCACCATCTTTGCCACAGACAGCATTCTGTCCATGCTCATGTGCTCTACCCGCTCCGTCTACCCCTGGGACATCGTCATCGTGCGCCAAGGAAACAAGATCTTCCTCGACAAGCGCGAGAATGCCACTCTGGATATGGTGACAGTCAACGAGAACGCCGCCGACTCTCCTCTCGACGCTTCCGAGGGCAGCAAGGACAGCGTCAACCAACCCGCTGCCCTTGCTGAGGAGGCCACATACATCAACCACAACTTCGCCAACCAGGTCGTCAACGAGAGCGAGTCCGCCAAGGTCCAGATGGCCCACAACAACCCCTTCTACAACGCCTCGGAGGACACCGACCCGCCTGCCAGCAAGGCCTACAGGTACCGAAGATTCGACTTGTCGACCAACGAGGAGGACCCCGTCTACCTTATTGTCCGTACCGAGGTTGATGCCGTCCAGAAGAACAGCATCAGCGGCGAGGATCAGCTCATGACCATCAAGGCTCTGAACGAGTTCGACAGCAAGGCCCAGGGCAGCGGCGGCGCCCTGGACTGGAGGAGCAAGCTCGTCACCCAGCGTGGTGCCGTGGTGGCGACCGAGATGAAGAACAACAGCTGCAAGCTTGCTCGCTGGACCGTACAGAGCATCCTGTCCAGGTCCGACATCATGAAGCTTGGGTACGTATCACCACATCTGATCCGCCGCCATTGACCAATGCTAACATTGTATTTCCAGTTTCGTTTCCCGTGTCAACCCCCGCTCCAACGACAAGCACGTCATCCTGGGCGTCATCGGCTGGAAGCCTCGCGACTTCGCCAACCAGATGAACCTGTCGCTGTCCAACGGTTGGGGCATCGTCCGAACCATTGCCGACATGTGTCTCCAGCGCGACGACGGCAAGTTCGTCCTCGTCAAGGACCCCAACAAGTCCATCCTGCGCCTGTACGAGGTCCCTGTCAGCACCTTTGAGGAGGATGAGGATGATGAGGATGGGCCCCAAGAGGAGGCCGAGGCTGAGGGAGCCGAGGAGTAAATTACGAGTTCCGAGTCGCTAGAGAAGTAAAATTCAAAAAGATTGTTTTCATGTGTCATGACTAGGGGGGATTAGACAGGCCAAGTTTCCTTTCTCTTGTGTTTGAAGCCGCTCAGCTTCAGCAGTGTTTGTTGCCGGGCCGCTTGAAACTATGCGGATACGCGTGGAGGTTTAGCACACTGGTAGCAGCGAGGGCCAACGTTGAAAAAACAAAACTCCTTTATTTTTATGATCATCTACTCTGTTTGGGATCTCTCCTAAGTCTGTACAGCGGTTCAGATGAACCACCGCAATCGTACTTTCTGAGCCGTTGATTTCGTCTAATCAGGAGATGACCGGACGTCTGGCTTTTGATCCCTTCGAGATGATCTCTGATAACTTGTCCTCCGAACCGTAATTGCGCACTGCCAAAAAGAATCCAACATGAAATACCATACACGGAGGGTTGGATCCTCGCTCCTTCCTTCTCATCTCCTGTTCGCACCACCACTGTCTCGCCGATCCCCAAAACTCAAGTCAACATGAAATCCGTAGAGGATTCATCTAATCCTTGCTCCTTCATGCTCGCCTCTTGTTCGCACAAACCACTCTCTCTCTCCGCATTCCCCTAAATCATTTCAACCTGAAATGAATGGAGAACCCAATCCTTGTTCCTTGACTCTCGTCGCATTCCCAAGCCTAACTCAACCTGAAATGCGTAGAGAATTCATGCGTAGAGAATTCACTCCGTGTTCCCTAATTGTCGTCTCGTGTTCGCACAAACCATTGTCTCACCTCATTCCTAAAACTCAAAATCAAAATGAAATAGCAAAAGCGTTCACTCCTTGTTCCTTCACTCTTGTCTCCTGTCCACACAAACACTGTCCTGCCGCACTTCGAAAAATCAAATCAACACGAAATGTATAGCGAATTCGATCCATATTTCTTCATTCTCGTCTCTTGTCCGCACAGCCACTCTCTCGCCACATTCCCAAAACTTGAATCAAAGTGATTAAGCAAAAGGGTTCACTCCTGTGGCCTTGATTTTCATCTCTTGCTCACACACCCACTCTCTCGCCGCATTCCTCGCCGGGTGCAGCTTGAGGGTGGCAGCTGCGTGGTAGGTCGCCGCAAGGATCAGCTGGAAGGCGGCCGTCTCGCTCTGCGTCTGCCGGTGCAAGTCCCCTTCCTCCTAGGTGCGGGAAACCTCGTGGCGGAGGCACACATCAAGAGGCCAGCTTGTGAAGGCTTTGTTCATCTCAAGGGCTCTGAAAACGAACTCGGCGCCCCAGGCCGAGGGGCGGGGTGAGCGTGGCCTCTCGCGGGGTTTTCGAGGTCGGATGGGTTCCACATATGGCTTTGGAGCAGGTTTGGAGGCCAGCTGGGACTGACGCGGGATAGTCCTGAATAGCACATCGATCGGGGGCAACTGAACACCAGGTTTGCTGCGTGGGGCCTCAATCGGCTGGTGGTACTCTGCAAAGGAAGGATTGCTCTGGTTTGCAAGAGAATAGGCCGTCAGATCATTGTATGCTCGGGGAGCCGTCTGACTGTCATTAGCGCGACCATTCTCATGCTGATAGGGAACTGGCCTTACTGTTTTCTCATCAACCCCCATTCCCACATGTGGTCTATCTGTTGGCTCTAGTCCAACAAGTCGATCTTGGTGCCGATTGTTTCCGTCGTGAGCATGAGAGCTTTCTGCAGGACCGAACCTGAAATCCGGTGCGTCGCCTGCCACATCCTGATTTCGTGAAGCGGTGCTAGCAGCATGAACTCCAACTTCCGGCCGGAGGGAAGTTCCGATAATAGGAAGGGGAGGCGGAGGATATGGGTAGTGAAACTGAAAGTTAGCGCCGGGTGGTTGTTCGATCTGGTGGAAAGAAGTGGCCTCGGAGCCAGTATGGTTATCATCTCCTTGATGATCCTTTCGTGCAGTTGCCCATGGTCCGGCCGCTGTGTCTTCGAATGATCGCATTTCTAATGCTCCTACCTCGTCACGGATACTAAAGACGGGATTCTTATATGGGGCCCTTTTCGCGAGTCCCCCACGCCGGTTAGTTCCCCTGCCTCGGGCTCCTCTACCACGAGGCCTTGGCTGCAAGGATCTCGAGGAAGTGGCCGCAACCTTAGTCTTCTTGGGGACCTCCCAGTTGACCGTGCCGGGTGCGATGTGGTGGACTTCATTGCCATCCAGTTCCCCCGCGTCGAGGCAATCTTTACAGACAGTGAACTTGCAACTGTCACACTGATGGACAACACCTCTGCTTGATAGGGAGCAGAAGTCACACTTTGTCATGGCGACATAGGATGGTTTCCAGCCTCGGTGGGGTGGGTCGTTATCCCACATGAAGGAGGAGTGTCGGTTCTTTTTACGCTTCTTCCCAGATTCTGTAAGGCTGTCGACTCCAGCATCTGCCGTGGACTGGTCCGCAGGAACAGATGCCAGAGCGGCAATAGTTTGACTGTAGCTTCTCTTTTTGCCCATTGCTTGAGAATCCGCCGGGCATGGTTCTGCTGATGGTGCTAGATCAGAAGATTGAGTCTTCTTCTTTCCATAAGGGTTTGGTTCCATGGCGGTGGCAGTGGTGGGTAGGTGAGTAGCAAATTCAAAGCGTTGACTCTAGGGGCGATTTTCTTATTTTCTTCTTTAGTTTGTTGGTTCTCGTATGTTGGGGAAGCTAGATCGGGTGAGCTTTAGGAGAGGTCATATGATAGCAAGTTTCAGTTTCCTGGCAGACAATAACAAAGCGATCATGGGCAACAAAGTGCGTGGGAAGCAGCATTTATGGGGTATGGCACCACCAACTCCTCGTCGAGAGGGAAATGAATCACACATGGGGAAGAATAGGATTCACTGGCGATAGTCGCAGAAGGTCCTGGGTCTCTGGTGAGAAGCGAAGGGAAAGCACGGGGCGAAGAGACCGAATCCATTTCGTGAATCATCGCGTCTGATCTTTGGATGTAAGGACATCAGACGGTTCTTGCTGTATTCAGCTGATCGGAGGGGATTTTCACTCTAGAGGGTTTGATTTGGAGAGAGGGGGGGGGGATTCGGGAGGGTAAACAATCGTTATCCCAATGGAAAATTAATGAATTTTGGCTCTACCTTGTGCTTTGAGCGGGTTTTTGATGTTGAAGATGGGCTAAGGTGAATATTCACCAAGTATTAGTTGAGAGATGGGCAAGTAGATGCGGGTGTGATGAGTTGGAAAGATCTTCTTTCGGAATTGTTGTTTCAGAAGTGTGGTGAATATCACAGACCAATCTGAAAAAATGGTGTTCCGAGAGAAATGATCCAAGTCAACAAACCACGACGCGTCGAAGTGAGGGCGAGGTGAGGTGAGGTGAGGGTGAGGCTGGCTCTCTTGCCTATAGGGTAGGTGCCCGAACCCACGTGTGGCTTCAGGTGGCTGGTGCGCCTCGAAGCCCGAGTCCTGGTGACTTGGTGACTTGGGCCACGGCTTCAATTCCTCTCCACTCCGCTCCACTCCCCTGCTGGTCTTACGTACCGGACCCTGTGCCACCAATCTACCGGCCCCTCTTTTCGCCCGTGTTCATGATGCTGACTGGCTGTGGCGGTGGTACGTAAGTATCTGGGGCCGTTGGCGCTCCAATCTTTCATCAGGGTCTTTCCAATTCTCCATGTCCAGGTCGATTGGGCTGCGCGTATCATCTCTTGGGCAAGTATGGGAAATGCAGCATTGGCAGCGAGGCTAGTGACCCCCACCGCCAGCAAGGTTTTCGCTAGGGCCTGCACTGGCAAGGTTGCTATCTATGTAGGTCTTAGGTGGCTTTCGGCTGAGAGTCAAACTACGAGCGTGGTGGCTTGCGGCGACGCCGACAGAACCCAATGTGCCAAACGCTGTCCAGCCAGGAGCTGTCCCGGTCGTTCCGTCTGGTCCTCAGCCGAATGGAGCTGAGGATGACGACAGAGGAGACTGTTCGGTCTTTTTTTTCGTTCCGCGCTTGAACGAATGAGACCTCGTGGCCTTTCTCGATGCTTATCGTGGGGTTTACAACTAACTGAAGCTGGTAGCTTGGCACTTTCCTAATACGGGCTGTATTGCAAGCGCCAGGTGCTGTTGGACTATTGAGGACTCGTCATTGCTCAAGCCGTAGAAGAGGTTCAGTTCATCAGCTTACGGCAAAATGCCCGAGGTCCCTTGCAGAGGCTCTGTGGGGGAAAAGAACAGGGAAATGATAGTCAAGATCTTCTACAAGGCGTCTCTACCTACCCAATAAAAGCCACCGTGACTCTTGTCAAAACGGAAAATATTATTCTCGTATCAGGACCACCTGTACGACTTCCCAGGAAGTCTACTCTGGATATGCTTTTAAGGTCCGCCGGATCGGAATATACGTCTGCCGGCCTACGCTGTGGGATCCTGACCGAAGCGCTACTAAAAGAGAGCCGGCACGGGACAAGCGGGAATGGAGAATTTGGGCGGGGCTTCACCCGACCGCCATCATGCTCGAGGATCCGACATGGTCTAGGCCGTAGACTCCCTGTGGTAGTACGGATAGCAGGTACGTACTGTAGCTTTGCTTCGCTCTTTCTAGGCTGTACGCGCCATCTCAAACTCTTGGCTCGGCATGCTTTTCCACTCTGCTCTCCCTTCCACTCTTCTCCAGAACTTTTCTTCTCTTCTCTCTCTCCCATCGCTCTCCTCCCTCTCGCCATCGTCGCATCACGCTCCCCAGAATCGTCCCGCGCACCGAGCTCTCTGCCTCCCGCGATGTCTGCCAACGACTACTACAACCAGCAGGGTGGAGGCTACCCCCAGCACCCCCAGCCTGTAAGTTGAAGCTTCCCAGAGCTCTCCCAGCGCCGCGTGGCCCAGCCCCCACTAGTCTGCTTGGCTGCGATAAACCAGCAAAAGCACCAATCGCCAAAACGACGAAACACCGTCGCTCAAGACCGCAATGGCAATTAAGTTCTCGCGCTGACCATCTCGCTCGTCGCAGTCCTACGGCCCTCCCCAGGGCCACTACAACAGCCCCCCGCCACAGCAGGGCGGCTACTACCAGCAGGGTCCTCCTCCTCAGCAGGGCTACGGCGGTCCACCACCCATGCAGTATCAGCAGCAACCCCCTCCGGAGCACAAGGGCAACAGCGGCGGCGACAGCGGTGTGAAGGGCCAGCGAAACTGCCTGCTCGCCTGTCTGGCTACCATCTGCTTCTGCTGTGCCGTCGAGGAGTGCTGCGAGTGCTGGTAGGTTTCAGCGCCCAGAGTTTCCCAATTCCGAAACATGGAGGGCTGCCCAGTTTTTTTGCCTTGATCCAGATTGCTAATATGATCATTTTTGTTATAGCTGCGAATGCTGCGAGTGTTGCTGCTAAGAGTAGCCACGATCATTTACCACAATCACACACCACCTTCCTTTCACCACCGTTTTCTACGACCTGTTATGTCTTGGGATCCTCCGAGGGAAACAAGGGATGAGGCATGGAGGGATGGATAAGCAGTCGAGATGGAGCTCCACTGGGATGGAACGACGGTCGCTTGAATCGCGAACATCGCATTGCCCATCAACGAAGAGGTCATATGATACAATGACGCATCCGAGGTCGGACTGGCCTCGTTGAGTATGGTAGCCGGCTGTATGACACTCGCTGCCCGCCCCTCTGCCTCTTGAACTTCTTGTATATACAGACCTGAGATTCAACTTCACATTGGTTTCCTTTCTTCATTATTGGCTTTGGGCGAATTCGTTAGGAATGCACAGTTCGTTTTTATCTTAATTCAGAATTCTTGTTAGAAGGGATTGGCCGCATCGCATTCCATTCGTTTCTTTTTTTTTCCGCTACGTATAAAGCTACCGCTTGCTAGCCCTAAGATGAATGTCAAACCCTCCGAAATGGAAATCGCATATCCCCACCGTGCTAGTTATCTTTTGTTCAGAATGATAGAGTAAGAAGGGAGATTTTATGAGTCGAGCTGTACGTAGTTGGCAGGGAAAAGACCCTTCTTGCCATTGTACTCGCCAGCCCACCAGTCCTCGTCGGGGAACTCCAGGTTCGTGATCTTGGCGTCCTCGGGGAAGCTGATTTCTGTGAGGCATGTTAGCGAAGAGTTGCAGTTGGATAGTTCTAGTTCTACTTACCGTTATCTTCAGCGGCCTCATAATCGTACAGAGCGGTTGCCGTGGGGCCGGCGGCAGCCGGGCGCGATGCTGCCGGAGGAGGCGGAGGAGGAGCAGTCTCCTCGACGGCGGCGGGGGCAACAGGAGCAGAACCTCCAGATGGTTCCTCTGTGATCTCGACATAATTGCTGGGGAACAGGCCTCGCTCGCCCTTGGAGTTGGTTCCTAGCCACCAGTCGTCATCAACCATATCGATATCGGTGACGATCTGGCCTTCAATAAGCTCAATCTCATTCTCTTCAGCCTTTTCGTAGTCGTACTGGACAACTGCGCGGTAGCCACCCTGGGAGCTCTGGCCAGCTGCAATCTGCTCAGGCTCAAACTCTTGCTCAGCGACGGCCGTGGCAGCACCTCGCGCAGCGCGTGTCTGCTCCTGTTCGTCAGGAAGCTCGTCCTCGTCGGGCACATCGATATCTGCTGCCGGGATAGCGGGTGGTGCTCGCGCCTCCGGTGGTTCAACAACTGGGCGAGAGGCCGAGACCGGAACGGCAATGCGTACGGGAGAAGACTCTCTTTCAGGCTCATAGGCCGAAGGATCTTCCTGCTCCTCCTCCTGTTCATCTGCCGGCGCAGGCCTGCTAGGAAGGCCAGGAAGAGCAAAGCCTCCCGAAGGTCGAGAGCTCTCGGGGAGACGCGGTGGGGCATCATCATAGTCCTCTTCAGCAGCTCGCGAGATCTGAGGCACAGATCCAGCAGAGATGGGTGCCGTGCCCTTGAATCGATCCTTCAATGCCGCAACTCCGCCAGATGAAGCAGGTGTCTCTTCTTCGAAGGACCTATCTTGCTCCCCGGTCGTCTGTTGACCAATAGCTTCGTTGGGTCGGCCGAACTGGGATGAGGTGTGAACTGGAGCCCAGCTCTTTCCGGTATACCCGCTCTTCCATCCTCCTCCGCTGGTCTGAGGCTCAACAGGTGACGCGGTAGGAGGTGGCGAACTGATACTTCCCACATCCGACCCTCGCTCCTTGGCCTTCTTCTCGGCCCAGAGTTGGGCTGGCGTCTTTCCACCTTGGTCGGCAAAGGTACGGCTGGCGGCACCAACAGGCGCGGCGGAAGGAACTGACGGCCCGCCGAAGCCCAGACCTCCGGTCGGTGGCTTAGTCCCGGTGAAGCTGGAACTACCTACAAACTTGTTGGCAACCTTGGGCTTGGGAAGAGTTGTGAGTCGCTCGGAGGCCGGGGGTTGACTGAAAGCAGCGGCCCTCTCGGAGAGAGGCTTAGACTCCTCCTCGACCGGTTCCGGTTCTTCATTCGCAGGCTTCTGTGCCCTGGCCCGGATGGCAGCAATATCGACCTTGCCTACAGGCTCGTATGCGCCCTTGACAGGAGTAGGTCTGTCGTCGTTCTTCTCCTTGGCCTGCGCTCGGATAGCAGCGATATCAACCTTTCCAATGGGCTGGTAACCACCCCCAACCACATCAGAGGAAGATTCGGGCTTGGCTGGCGCGGCAGAGAAACGGGAGGGTTCGGGCTTCTGCTTGGTGAGCTCCGCCATGTTGACCTTGGTGGGTTTGTAAGCGGAATCGACCTTCTCGATCTGAGATCTGGAAACGGGAGGAGCATCTGCGCCCCAGCCATCTGCGTCCACGTTGCTATCTTGCTTCGTTCGGGCGGCGACGATGGGATCAACTCGGCCGGCGCTATAAGTGGTTGGAGTAAATACGGGCTTCGACTTTACGGGGGGGCGGGGGGCCGGGGCGCCAATTGATGAGCCAGCAGAGTATTTGGCACCAGAGGCATTGGCGACCTTCTCCATGACGGTCTGGGGCTCCAAGTCGCTTTCGGAACGAGCGGTAATCTGCACATGGTATCCATGCAAGATCTTTGAGACTGCAGCGGTGTGGCTTGTGAAGTATCCCTTGGTACGTTCAGGTACGCCGCCGCCGCACCAGGCGATGAGGATATATTTGGGGAGGCCGGAGTTGGGGTCTTTCACCTTGACGAAGGCATACTGGACACGACCTTCGCTGAAGTCCTCGATTAAGTCGGACAATTCTCCATCTGGAACAAGGTCAACACGCTGTATCCATGCGATTCAATGCCGGATTCCCTCACCTCCGGTGCCTTGCACTTTTAGAATGCTCTCCTTAGCTCCGCTGTCTTGGAAGGCGTTCTGCAATGGTGCCTGTACGGTGAAGAGAGCCCACTGGGCGTGGGTGGGAGAGTCGGTCGAGGGTGCCGGCCCGTTGATGACTCCATTGTAGCTGCTCTTAATGGACGGGCCGTTAATTGATAAGTTTAGCGACGCCATCTCGAAGAAAATATGCCGTTGTTTGGAGAGGTAGGTTTGGTAGTGGAAGGGGGGAGGTCGGTGACGTTGCTGGAATTGGGGTGAGGAGGATCCACCAGTCAATCCAGCTCAAAAGAGGGGTACTCGAAGAGGTGAAGGAGGAGGAGAGAAGGCACACGAGATGCCTTGGTCGCAGCACTTCTTCAGACGAATGCTAATTGCTCCGTGGAAGAAGTGTTTGCCGTCGTTTGGACAAGACAGGAGGAATAGATGATGTTGGAAGAGGTTGGCTTGTGGAGCTGCAAGAACGGGCAGGGTACGCATACCATTGACGTACGACCAACACCACGTATTCGGGCAACTAGCTACCTTACCTACAAAGTCCAGTAAGCAGTACAGGCGAGCTACGCTACACTGCACAGCCCTGCTAGCTGCCTCCTGGGCAGGTAATAGGTGCCCAGGTATCCACCAGATTGGGCGTTTGGGTTTGCGGAGTCTGGAGGACGGTTAAAGACATATTATGCAACTAGGATGCACTTTGCAAGTAAGCAGAGAAGATGGCACCGGTGCCGAAATGACGCAAGGTCTCAAGCCCCGCCACTCGCCCGTCGTCGCGCCTCGTCGGCTTAGTAGGCTACGGATTGCGATATCGCCTGCCCCGCCAAATTCCGCAGTTATGATCTACTTCGCACCCACCAACTGCCTGACATATCCAGATCGCATGACTGGGTAAAAAAAAATCACCACCACTGCATCTTGACGTCTTGACACACCGAATCTAAGGGTCCTGGGCACGAAAGGGGAAAATAATGTCGACAATTACAGAGGTGGACAGCATCCCCCAATGGGAGCAGCTTCTTGCGTCGCTGCCTCCATCTACGCTTCTAGTGGTTTCTTTCCACGCTCCATGGGCGGCTCCATGTGCCCAAATGGCTACAGTCCTGGCGACGCTGGCGTCTGAATACCCGGTCACCGAGCCTCCCGCCACAAAGTGGGTTTCTGTCAATGCAGAGGATCTCAGCGACATCAGCGAAGCCTACGAAGTCACTGCCGTTCCATTCCTAGTATTGATCCGGAACGGCCAAGTCCTCGAGACTGTCAGTGGCAGCAGCGCTGTCAAAGTTCGAACCGCAATCGAGACGCACGCCAGCAGTGCAGGTGCAGCACAGGCGGATACTGCCGGCGGAGTAGCTCAAACCGTCGCCAAAGCTGAAGAACCTGCGGCACCGCTTGATCCCGAGAAACAGAAAGAAGAACTCTTCAAGCGCTTGGCAGATCTGGTCAAGGCCGCACCTGTTATGCTCTTCATGAAGGGTACCCCAAGTGGTCCGCAGTGCGGCTTCTCTCGTCAAATGGTCGCAATTCTGCGGGAGAACTCTGTCAAATATGGATTCTTCAACATTCTCGCTGACGACGAGGTCAGGCAAGGCCTGAAGGAGTACGCTGAGTGGCCAACTTATCCTCAGCTTTGGGTCAGTGGGGAGTTGGTCGGTGGGTTGGACATTGTAAGTGATATCGAGACGCAACCTGGGAAGTTGACACTAGAAACAAAATGACTAACTCTGAAATAGGTCAAAGAGGAGCTCAGTAACGATGTAGACTTTTTCAAGCCTTATAGTGTGAGCGGGGGTGAGGCAGCGACCCCAGCTTGAGGGGCACACATTGGATGGGCAAATCAAGGAACCCGGGCTGTTGGAAAAAAGAGACGAGCTACGAATTATTATGCCAGAAATGAATTGCGACACCTTGTCCGCCGCCTTGTTAGCGACTTGTCGATGCGAAGCACACTCCTGAAGCCTGTGAGTTCGGGGTGAGTGGATAGAGGGAAACTGATGCCATACAAATGGCCGGGTCATTTCGCGGTCAGTCAAGAGTGAAGAAAGAAGGGAGACAACGGATCAGGGGTGATGGATTGAGAACTGTGGCTTCCTGGAGGCCCGAACAAGACCGGACTGATGTCGAGTTAGTCAAGCTAGTTGGTGATAATGAAACGGGCTTCGATTCGTGGCAACAAGTTTCTTTGATAGCTCGAACGATATTCAGTTCACTACTCACATTGATCAATGATTCATGATGTGAGATACTCAGAGACTGGGAAGAATGAGAAAAAATGTAGATGGAAGAGAGCCAGCCTCCAGACCTCGTTTCGACAGCGACTAGCTGCCAATCGTCGGTTGCCATTCCAGGTAATTGCTCTGGACACTTTTAGAAATGTAAGCTCAGGATCCCGGTGGATAACCAGCAAATTGGATGCTGACGAAACAAACTAGACACTAGTCCAACTCAGTCACGGTCCCTGGTGATGTTGATGCTTACCCTTGTCTAGCTGTATGCAGGTAGGCCAGTGTGACCGAGAGTGTGAGTCATTGCAGAGAGACGTTTGCACAGATTGTTGTTGGAGGTGTGGCTGTGAAGTGATGGGGTAGCATGATGTTAGCGGGGAGAAACTGCTGATGTGGTTTTGCTGCTGCCTGGCGAGGCCCGGAACAGCCCCGAGAGCCATTCTCGTCTAGGCCCTGCGCAAACGAGCGCCCGCAGGCCCGCAAGATCGGGATGGAGTATAGTCCGTATAAAGTGTGCAGTTTGCTGACAGGCGGTGTTGGTGCTGCATGCTCCAAATGTCGGGGGAGAGCATCATGTTCCGCATAGCCTGATGATATCATCCACTCCGGCGTCTGCACACAATGCGCCCTGCTCCCTGTAACACACACCACTGGACGCTGACGACGAGCGCCTCAAGGAGCCAGGCCCAAGGGGGCAGATTGATCAAGTACGTGTATAGTCGATGGAGGCGCGCAGCAAAACAGATAAGATTCTTGTGCTACTCCTGCATTACCCATAACGGCTCCAAGTGGCGAAGTGCTTCTATTGGTGCATGTAAACTATACGTACCACCGTGGCGTCTCTTGCCTACCACCTGTCTAATATAGTAGGAAAGTAGGGGGGAGTACCTGCCTCAATATCATGCCATGAGCCATTAGCTCAGCACGTTTTTAAAGTTTTGGTAGCTTCACAAGTATCTCGAGGAGGAGCATGGGAGATGGATTTCTATCCGGGCGTGCGATCAAGCTAACGGATGGACTGCTGGCCAATTCCAACTGGGCCAAAGACAGCAAACCCCCACCAATACCACTGCATCTGCCGCTTCCTGCGTACTTAGCAAGGGACAGGAGTCGGCGGCGGCCGGTAGTTGGGTGATATCATCATGGGTACCTAGTGTGGTACCGCCAGAAGTCAAGCCATCCCAATCCTATCCCCCCATTCCTTTCCCGCCATTGCAGATCCGTCTCAAGCTTCGGCGTGCCTCAATGGAGCGACTAGTTAGTAGTAAGCCAGGTGCAGCAAGCCTTTCCCCAAGGGTCTTGCGCTTCTGTTTCCGTTCGGTTTGTGCACTGGCCGGTGGGAGGGATTTGAGACGGCTGCGGATTATATAATTCCACCAGCATCCAACCACACCGTCCATCGTCGTTGGACCTGTTTCACTCCCACTCTTTCCCTCGCTGCTCTGCCTCCGTCGATAGCGACAGCAACTGCAGGTGGCAGCTTACTAAAACAAATCAGCTCTCGTGCCTTCTCCCACCTGGCCCCGATAGTTTGAATTAAACCCGATTGACGCCGTCATTGAATATTCCGCCGTCTCCCAGCTTTCCCCAGCATCGCCTCTTCGTGACAAATCCGTCCCGCCTCGCTCGTCCTTGTCTGCTGCCGCGGTGAATAGGCGCTACATCCAGCAGACCCGACGCTGCATTTCTCGACTCGACTCCACCGCCGATCCTTAGCGTGGGATCGCTTCCTCAGAGGAGGCCCGATATATGATTTAATTGGGGTTATTGGGTACACTTCACCAACGTTTCTACTAAAATCTCATTCTCATATCATTCCCAGCTCGTGGCTTGACTCCCGCCGTCCAGTCGCTTGAGGCGCTTTCGTCCTGCTGAGCATCACCTTTTCAGGGCGCGCCCCGTCTCTCTCGATCGGGACAATCCTCTTTCTCTCCGAGAACAAGACAGCCGCCTATCTGTCTTGCTGACTGACTGGCCCGCGCGAGTGTGTCATCACTTCCTTCTTCCTAGGTAAGAAGTTCGTGGGTGTCAAGTGAGCGGATCCATCTATCCAGTGACCATGACTCCTACTCCGCCGTCGACAAATTCTTCTACGGGTGGCCGCTCACCCGAAGAGCAGTACCGGGTTGTGCGCAAGAGGAACAGAATTCCTCTGAGCTGTTATCCTTGTAGGACCAGAAAGTATGTGCTGGCCCCACGGCTGTGCAAATTTCCCCATTGCTAATATCCTCCATGTAGATTGTAAGCAATGCCATGTCACCAAACAGACAGGTAGATAAAATCGATATTTTACTAACCCACAGCTAGAAAATGCGACCGGAACCACCCATGCAGCAATTGCGTGAAGCGCGAGGGCGCAGGAGCTGCGTCTTGCTCATACGCCACTCCCGTAAGCCGCAAGAAAAACCCGGATCAGGGAGCGGCGAGCCCAGATGACATGCAAAACAGAATTAATCGACTTGAAGGTTTGGTTCTCTCACTAATGCACAATGGAGGTAATACGGATGGCGCCGCGGCTACCGCGATGGATGTTGAGCGGTCTGGCTCTCAATCTTTGACGGATGGTACATCGTCTGCAAGGAACGCTCGAGAGGAGGACCCCGCTTTGATTGATGAGGACAGCGATGTCGATGAAGGCCTAGCTACATCACTAGGAGTTTTGAAGGTCGACATGGACAATGGGAAATCCATGTACATTGGCCAAGAACATTGGCATACCCTACTCTCCGACATTGCAGAGGTCAAGAACTACTTCGCCAGTCACAAAAAGGAGCTCGAGACAGGCTACGAACGTGTACGGAATTCCAAGCCCATGGCCGCTCGCGAAGGCCCTACCCTCCTACTTGGCGCTCCACAAGCCTCCGAGGTCGAACTGAGGGCTGAGCTGCCTCCCAAGTCGAGCGTTCTGACGCTATGTAGTCGCTACTTCAATTCCATGGATAACGCTGTCAACATAAT